CTTCGAAAAAAATATCATCCATCTAATGTATAACTGACCCTCAGCACATAAAATTCTTTACATCTCCCAATGCTGTTTTGTTTTACCCACGGGGTGGAAATTCCTCACGTCGAAGTAGGATCACGAGAACAGAAACAGTAATATGACTAAAGCCATGCATCTGTACGCTCGAAAAAAAAGAAAGAAAGAAAGAAAAAAAACTTATATACTTGCGGACATACACATACACACTCACACACATACATATATATATATATATATATATATATATATATATATATATATATATACACATGTAAACACACACAAACACACACACACAAACACACACACACACAAGCACACACACACATACAAATACACACACACGCATACAAGTACACACAAATACGCACACACATACAAATACACACACACACAAACACACACACACACATATATATATATATATATATACATGCACACACACACAAACACACATACACACATACACACACACACACCACACACACTCACAAACCACACACGCACTCACACACACACACACATACACACACATATATGTATATATATATATATATATATATATATATATATATATATATATATATACACATATTTATACATGCACACACACACACACACACACACACACACACACACTCACATACACACACACACACACACACACACATATACACACACACACACACTCACACACACACACACACACTCACACACACACACACACAGATACATATATATTTATTTATGTATATATGTATTTGTAGAGTCACAGACCCCTTTGAGTTTCTGTTGAAAAGACCCCCTTCAAGATCAATATTAAAATAAACACTACTTTACATGTAATGTGTATAATGTACTTTATTCACTCAGATTTGATTGTCATATACTTATATGAGATGTATACAGTATTATCAAACTTTAAAGTAAATAGCCTAGAAAACCACATTAACATAAATGTTATTTTATATAATCCTCAATGACCCCCTGAAACTCATTCATGGACCCCTTAGAGATCCAAGGACCCCAGGATAAGAACGCCTGATCTAGAGTAATAATGAATGAATACTTTATGATGCATGTGGTTAATTATACGTATATAATTTTCCTCTAGTCATTCCCAAGTATACCTTTAGACCTTAAACCCACAAATCTATCTTCTGACTGCATTATGGAGATGAGGCAACATTCGATCATAATGTTAAGGAAAATAACCTGTCTGGACTGACTTTGAAACGTAACGCGAACTTGGCCATCAGTTAACATGATCGTGGATGTAACCAAAACGTATTTGTCCCTCGCTCCGCCCTGCAGCGACTCAGGGGCTTCCCTTCTCCCTAGCAGACTGCTCTCATGAAGAGAGTGGGGACAGGAAGTGAATGCCTTTGACCAAAACTAGTTGCCCTCACTCACCAGCCGCGACCATCTTGTTCATTATAATACGAATGTTGCACACGCACAGATGTGTGCACACATACACAGACGCTGGCGCGCGGCAGCGTCTGTGTACGCACACACTGTTTCAGTGTTTTACAGTATTTGCAGCAATCAAATAAAAACTGAAAGATATTGCTACAGCACACTCAAAGGCAGCCAAAATACGTTGTTAAACTATTGACATGAATAAACAAAGTAGATTGATATTTCAAATTATTTATCGATTTCCTCTGCATCAGATTCGGTTATGGATTAGATATTACGCATTCGATTGTCTTTAAGATACTTTAAAACCAATATATTCATGAGAGAGAGAGAGAGACCGCGAGTAATGTATGTGTGTGTAAGTCCACCTACTTATCGATTAATATTTGTGGATATGAAAAATGTGCATATGTATTCAGAATAAAGATGGACACCTCTCTGTTCTTCCTCTATGACAGTCACAATCTCATGGCCATTGGTTTTACAGAGCCAAAAGTCGTGGACCTGGATTTACTAATTTTCTTTAACGATATATATTTTCTGTTATACCATCATGCAACTGAGAGCAAGAAAAGAAGTGTCTGTGCGGCGTACATACTTTCAGTTACCAAAATCATGAATTTGGTCCCATGCAAAGCCTTCCATAGCAGTCACACACACGCACAGGCACACACATATATATATCAACAGCAATAATAAAATATTGATAATGAAATAGCCAGTATTGAATTGACCTGTTCCATTATTAGCAGATGACGGTCGTTTGTTTCTATCATTCGTGTCAAGTTCGCCTGCAGTAATATTTCATGTTTTAGTTTTAAGAAACTTCTATGGATAAGGTTTTACTGCATTTGGGTATAAACAATTTTAGCCTTTATTTTCAATACCACAGTGTCCGTTTGAGGAAATTAATACTTTCTCTCCCTCTCTGTCTCGTGGACTTAAATTCTTAAAATTGTCCTTTCTTTTATTATAATTTGTGTTTTTCTCACAGAGTGAACTAGCATCTTTTACTAAAGTCACCACCAAAAGTTTTATTAGCTTTTCATTAATCCTGCAAATGTAATTTACAGGATTACATTTGCAGGAATCTTCTCATTGTCTTTAATAGCACAAAAATATTCAAAATTGATTATGATAAACATGAAAATAAATTCATAGGATAAAAGTATGGATGGATAAAGATTCATGGAAATAATTTTCCTACCCTGAGGGTCGTCAGGCTGAAAAAAATATAGAAGTTCGGGGTCGCGGCCGAAAAAAGAGGAACGCGGCTTTGCAGTGAAAATAAGAAATGTAGTATATAGATTTTATTTAATAAACGTTTAAAAGGATAATAAGAACGGACTCATCCCCTGAAAGAGTCACGCAGAGAGCTGTCAGCCAGAATGACAGCAACGCCTCGGTTGATGTTGCTCCTGTCAGCCACTGAAGTTTGGAAGGTTGTCACACCTTGATTGAAGCTGTTGGTGTTACTGAAACTGTTGGTGTTTCCGAAATTCCCTCGGTTGATGTTACTCCTGTCAGCCACTGAAGTTTGGAAGGTCGTCACACCTTGATTAAAGCTGTTGGTGTTAGTGAAAGCGTCGCTGCCTCCGAAATTGGCTCCGTTGATGACGCCCCCGTCAATGATGCCTCCGTCAATAACGCCGCCATTGATCACACCGCCATCAATGATGGTGCTGCCGAAGTTTCCAGTCTGAGAATTCAGCTGGTTTTGGAAAGTTTGCGAAGAGAGGAAGCGGTTCTGATCGAGGGAAGACTGCGAGTTTCCAAAGAATTGTTGGTTCGTTGAAAACTGCGAATTCCCGAAGGCTGCTTGGTTTGGTGATGACTGTGAATTGGCGAAGATTTGGCGGTTGCCCGAAAATTGAGAAGTGCCAAATGGTTGCTGGTTGTTTGAAAACTGTGAGCCAGTGAATGCTGCACTGCTGCCTGACGACTGTGAGCTGCTGAAGGCCTGCTGTGACAGCTGTGTATTGGTGGTGGAGCCGGCGTTGGCCAGACTAGTGAAGTAATAGTTGGACACCTGGTCTCCTGGTTCCTCGCTCACTGTGGCTTGGTATCCTCCGTCTCCGTCTACGAAGTATCGCGTTACTCTGAAAAAGTAACATTTTCTTTATTTTGAAAAATAGTTTGGTGAAACCGATGATTTTAAGACCGATTAACGCTTTAACTATATCCCACAAGAGAGATGAGCAATCTGTTCTTACCTGAAAAGTCCATTGGGCTGAAGCCAGCGATATTCGCCTTCGGTTCTGCCCGAAGGAGACACAGACTCCTTGTGTTCCTTGACGTCTCCTGTGGTCTCGACGTTGACGCCGTAAGCGAACTCGTAGGGCATGACCTGTGAGTGGACACGAATTGGAGATGTGATCCATATACTTTTACAGATCCTCTTTCTATATGTATCACAAACATATTATATACATATATGTTGTATGTAAACGCACTCTTATATGTGTAATTGTAAACACGAACCTGTGCATCATTGAACTGAAACTGAGGAGCAGCCGACGCTGAGGCGATGATGACTAGCAACACTCTCTGGACCTGCAAGGGATTAATGAATTATTATTATTTTCAATTTATCTATTTATTTTTTCACTAAGAGACTTTTTTATATTCACTGGGGCTCTGTGTAAGCTAGGACACTCGCCTTCATGACTGCAGAGAACTGAGCTCGGAACTACAGCAAGCAGCGAAGATTCCCCGATTTATAGGCGGCCTTTCCCTCTCCTCGGCAGCTGTCCTTGCAGGCTGTATGGAAAGGGAAGGGCCGATCGGATGTCACTCAGGGTGTATCGTAGACGCTATTCTTGTGCCTCACAAGATGGCAACAAGGGAGCAGAATGTTAAGCCCAATAATTGATTATGCAGGATGTTTGTGCAACATAATGGCATTGTATAGCAATCTATATATACATATATGAACATGTTTATATAAATAGGTATACACATATATGTATATTCATATATATGTGTGATTATACACGGATAGATTATTATCCATATAAGCATTTTCTCTTATATTTTTGAGAATTGTCAGGTTACATAGACGTACAGAATGATTTTGAAGACATTCATCTAACCGAAGTCAATACCATGTCATATGACTCGAACACGTTGGAAATTCTTACCATGTTCCAGCGATCTTTATGATTGACTTACCCATATAGAGTGAGCATTTATTTGTTCTACTGCTAAAAATACACAGAAACATTTTGTGCAACTTTACAATAAAAAACTATATCGAGAAACTTACGATTTGATTCGTTATTACAGAAAACCTAAATTCTTATCAAAGACAACGTGAACTATATCTGAAAAATATCGCGCTCCGATTGCCTGACCGGAGTGTATCATACCATTTCAAGCTGAAAGCATACGCTTTGACACAAAATGAAAAGAGGCTTCAACAGGTTCCAATAATGTACGCGTAAAGAGCAAACGGTGCATCAAAGTGTTAAGGATTTCGGAAATGTTACAA